CTGCTCCTCAGCCATGGGGCTGGGCCGTTCTTGCCACTTCCTCGGTCCTTCGTGCCTTGATTGGTCAGCACTGGGCCGCACCTGGGAGGGCGCCCTCTCCTCCAGCTTCCTGCCCTCCTCTCCTCTCTTCTGCTGTCCCATGTCTCCTCCCACACTGCTGATGTCCCCGGTGAGGACGCTGGTGTAGAGGTGTCCCCCATGGGCCCTGTGGGAGTGTCCATCTAGCTCACCCCTGATCTCACAGCCATCTGCTCGTCCAGCTCACTAAGGGACCTACAGGCACTATCACTTCAGGGTTGCCTACTCCAGGTCTCCTGCTGTCCCACAGAGCGGCGCCAGTGGCCCCTTGGAGGTCAGATGGAAACAGCAGCGTCTCAGAGTGACACAGCGGTTGGCAGTGGCACCCAGACTCAGGCAGCCCAGCCCCACCATCTCCTAGCCCCTCTTCCCTGTCTTATCATCCTTTCCTTCAAAGACACAGACACTTCTCAGCACCTCTGGATGCGAAGCTGCATCCTAGAGAGAGCGCAGTGGATGAGACACTGCCTGGCTCCTCGAAGGCCTGCACCGTCTCAGGGCGGGAGAGGAGCATCAGGTTCTAGCGTGGGGGATGGAAGGTAGGACCACTGTGCCTGCCCTTTTTGCTGTCGCTCCCCGAGCAGCACAAGCTGGGCTGGAAAGGGAAGAGCTGGCTGCAGATCACACATCCAGGAACCTCCCCCTGAGCCCCAGCCCTGGACCTTGTGCCATTTCTCTGTGCCTCAGTCTCCCCTTTGGTCAAACCAGGCGCTTCCATGTGCTCATTGTCAACTGTATATCTTCGGTTCAAACCCTTCACTCATTTTTTAAACCATGTTGGGTAGGAGGTGTGCTTTATGTACCGTGGACCAATTGTTCTGATTTCTGACTTTACAGACTGGTGCTGTGGGACCTGCTCCCTGGCCTTAGACCCAGCAATACCCACTGTGTTATCTTTATGCAGTGGTTCACAGCCGGGGTGATGCTGCCCCAGGTGACAATGCAATGTCTAAAGGAACCTTTGGTTCTCACCATGGGGTGACACACAGGTTCGGAGAGCTGTCCAGACTTAGTGGATGGAGGTCAAGGAGGCTGTATTCATTAACGTTTATTGATGAATGAATGGAAAAATCTCTTCTGAGAGTCCTTTTGGGGATAAAAACAATCCAGTTAGTCTACAGATTCTGGAAATCTGGGTAATAATGGTCATGACATAATAGCAATCCTGTTGCATTCTTCATTCTGATCTACACCTACTGGCCCACTGGTGGAAAACAGCCCCTAAACATTGCTAATTCATTTTCATAGCTTCTAGCCTGGAGATTCTCATCCAAAGGGGACCAAAAGCATGCAGTTATCCTTGCAGACACCGAAGATGGCTCCTCTGCTCTGCTGGGTGATCTGAGGCTGTACCAGGGCATAGAGTCCCCTGGGCCCTTAGCCAGGGGTTGGGATTGGTCTACACTGAATGACAAGCTGGGGCTCCCCATTGCTCCCTGTGATCAGCCACTCCACCAAGGCCTATGAGGTGAGGGAAAAGCTCCTCCTCATTTATCCAAAGCCCTTGAAGACTCTTCTAAAAGTGTTTCTTTCCCTAAGGTGGCTGGGATGTGGTTATTTAAATATTTATGTGGTCATTTAAATATTCATCATGGGGAAAACTTCTGGGAAGCTGCACGACATCGATGGCTGGCAGAGGAGCTGGGACTCCAGGCTGCAAAGGGCTCCCAGCTCCCCAGAAACTGCATTAGAGCAGGCAGCTGGGGAGCATCAGCCAAGGATAATTTGGGAGGACAAAGCCTCAGGAGGACAAAGCCTGCAGGAGGGAGGCCTTGGCCAAGAGGGGTGAGGATCAAGTGGCTTCTCGGGCTGCTGTATTGTCTCACTGATCCAAGCCCTATGAGGTAGGAATCATGGAGAAACTGAGGCACAGGGTGTGAGGCCAGTTGTCCACAGTACATACACGTGGGCAGTGGGGAGTCTGGTTTTCCTGCTGTTAGCCAACCTTGGTTATGCTGCGGTGCATGTCGCCGACCAGGGAAGTGCTGCCTGGGTATTATTTAGGTCCCCTTGGCATAGGCAGCACTAAACTTAGGGTGTTTGGAGGAGCTGGGAAGGAGTCAGTGTGTTTCAAGGATGAATGGCAGGCTGTCAGAGTGCAGAGAGTCAGGGCATGGAGAAGCCTGTGAAAGCTTTCCAGTCCCCGAGGTGCTGTGGAGAAATCAGCAACGGTCTGTCATGATGTTTTCCTTCACAGTGATAGCTGAGGGCACCAGGCCTGGAGGTCGGCGGACACAGAGGCTGTCCCTGCTGCCGTTTCTAGCCCAAGTCCCACTGGGGATAGACGCTGGCCATGGGGCAGGGCCTGAGGTCCAGAGCTCAGCTTGGCTGGGTTCAGGGCAGTGTCGGGAGATGAGGAGAAGATGGCTTTGCTTATGCACTGTTCTTTTCATCCAATTTCTTCTACCTAGCTTCAACGTGAAAAATAGATCACTCCTTAGCTATTTGTTTAACTACGAGGTAGACACGATTGACAAAATATGCTGAGTGTTTAAAGTTTTTATTACAGTAAAAGACACACTGCCATTATTATCCTGAAAATCCTCCTCTCACTTCGAACACACTCATCCCACCGTCCTCGGCACTTCCTGCAGCAGCTCTGGAGTCCTCTTTCCTGAGGGTCTTTAGCTGTACTGTCCTGGCTGCCATTAGGTCCTGAGTAGATTCAAAACATTTCCCTTTCATGATCATTTTGACTTTGGGGAAGAGCTGGAAGTCACACAGTGACTAAGGTGGATGAGGACCCAGTGTCATGTTTTTACGAGCTGCCTTTAGGCTGGATGGTGCTCGGCAGCAGCAGTCACTGTATTTTTGATCACACTTCGTGAAGACACTCGGGAAAAAGGACTGATGCAGAAAGTGGTAAGGATGATAGGATGAGTGTGTATGAAGGGAGAGGGAGGATCTAGAGGGGGATTTGTGGCAATGTGTCTTTTACTGGAATACATTTTTAACATTAAGCATTGACCGCATATGTTGATGACACCAGTGAAACTGGATTTCGCCTTCAGCCCCATCTCAGAACACTGCCCTCCTCCACAGCTACCAGCAGCCACCTGTCCTGGCCCCCACACTGTTCATAAATCTGGAGGGGCCTGACCTCTCCCAGGCCCAGCCTGACCTGCTCCCTGAGGCCTGTGTAGCTTTTTCGTCCTGTCCTGGGGACCCTGGGGGGAACAGTGACTTTGGGACTCCAGACCCCAACTTCCTGCTGAAACTTCCTGTGAGCCCTGCTGGGTTCTGTGGGGGCTCAGCTGTTGGGGTCCAGGGCTGGAGTTGGACAGAGACCCTGTGTGTGCAGGTACCACCCCGGAGTCTGAGCACGGTGTTCCAGCAGACTGACTTTTCTAGACTTTGGAGTTTGTGGACCTGATGATGAGGACTCCCATCTTCTTGGGGGGAAACTCCCTGAGGATGCTGGAGGGTAGGGCTGGGTTAATCTCATCTATGCACAGATGGTGATGCCAGGCATTGTTCTCACACCCTTCCTCTCTGGCTCAGAGTTGTGTCCTGCTGCCCCTTTATCTGGGGGATGCAGGGATGAGGATCCGGTCCCTAAAGCCATCCTGGAAGATGGGGTCTCAGAGCCAGGGCAAGCCAGGCCCCTACCCACCTGGTGGATTTCATGATGCACGGAGAGGGCTAAAGCAGGCTGTCTAGAGAAGGGACCCCTGACAAATGCCACGTCAGTGTTAGTGACTTCACGTGTGTCCTTCCACACCAGCTGTGCAGGCGGCAGGTGCCTGAAGACACTTGTGGGAAGCCATGTAGGTGAATCCAAGACGAACCCAGAGTGCTGCTTTACTACCTTGCCTGCCACCTCCGCTTGTGTGCCCACCCATCCCACTGGGCAGGTACTAAGCGAACCTGCTTCCCAGAGGGGAAACGGGCTCAGGAGGTTAAGGGACTTGCCCACATTCACAGCACAAACACTGTCTAGCCACGTCTGCATTGAGATCTGCTGAATCCTGTTTTCTCCACCTGGGTCCCTCCTTACAAATATAATTTTGAAGCATTTTACTTCCCTTCTTGAATACTTCTGTTCATGAAAATAATTTATCACCATGTGTAAATGGTACAAAATAATGTTTTATGCTTACAGCACTTCATGGTTTATAGGGTAGCTCTGTATTTTTTTCACTTGATTCCCATACAAGGTGGCCCCTGTTTTGTAGAGCCAGGATCTGTATGTGGAGAAGCTCAGCTGACCTGTCACACGTCTGACCTTGACCTTGGTGGATGGTGGGCCTTGGCTCTGGTTCTACGGTTTCTGTAACTTGGTTGCAGGAATGTGCATGACTCTCCTTCATTTGCTACTTCAAGTTGTGTTTCTGCGGTGCTCTGAGGCGTGTGGGCTTGGTGTTCCCCTGGCTTGGAGGGGTTCAGGGTGGGTCAGGTGGCCATCCTGAGGACAGTCCGTGAGCATGTCTGTGGCCCTCACACTGGCTGATGGGGTCAAGGGAGCAGGCCCTGAAGGGTGTACCCACTGCCAGGCCCCTTCTCAAGGGCTGAAGTTTTCTACCCACAGCAGCAGAAATGGAAAAATGGCTGAAACAGAAATGCAAACAAGTGGTTTTATTTTTACGGTAAAAATGAAGAAATAGAGATACATTTTTTAAAAGTCTAATTCCTGACCCAACAATTCCCCTTTACATACTTTATTACTTTTTAAAAAATGCTTTCAATGTCCCCAAGAAAAATTATCCATACAGTGACAAATGGCTTGTTTGGCTTGGGATCCAATTGTGCTTATAAGTTGGTAATGTGAGAGTTTGGGTTAATATTTAAAAAGTCTTGCAAAAGTGTGCTTATCTCTGAGCCAATTATTTTTCCTCTCCCATGTGGTATCGCTGGAGGTCACTGTTACGGGACATCACAGGTACCTCTCTCCAGCCACTTTTTATTTCTCCATCTCTCTTCCTTCCCAGGCCCTTCCTGTTCCAGCCCTGGGGCCTACAGAGAAGAGAACGCGCCAGGCTAGAAGCCAGGGGCAGAGAGCCATTCTGGTGAGTAAAGCGCGCCTCTCTGGAGTTGTTCTTTAGCAAAAGATAAAAGCCAGTTCACCAAAGAGTTTCACCCTTTTAGAATCCATTTGACCCAAGTCCTGCCAGTCGCTCTGCCCAGAGGTCCTGAGCCAGGCCAGGGCATCCCACAGATCCTCTCCCCGCCTGCCTCCTTGCCCCCCTTCTGCCTTCCAGCAGGATTCTGAATGCTCATTTTCTTTCCTAAAAGGAACATTTTTCCACTGGGAGGAAAGCGTTCTTCCCCACTGTTGGAGACAGAATGCTACAACCTGAGCCCTGGCTGTGACTGACAGCCGTCAGCTACTATCCATCTCCTTGGCCCACTTAGATATTTTAGCAAATAGATATCAAGTCAATAAAGCTACCTGACCAGAGGACGCTGTAATTGCTTGTAGAAAATAATTATACTGTCTTGATGTTCATCGTCACTTCCTTCTATGAGATACACCCACATCCACACTCTGAGGAGCTGTCCTGGTCCCCCACCCTTTGTGCTCCCCCCAGGAAGAGAGAAGATGAACAGCCAGTGAGCTGGGCCCACTGGGGTTCAGAGGAGGAAGGCACCTGGTCAAGTCCCCGCTCTGGGCGCCCCCCGGGACAGCAGCAGGCACCGGGCCATCGCCGCCAGGTCCTCACGCCTGAGCGCCTGTGCACAGACTAGAGACTCAGAGGTGCCCCCTCTCCCCTTGGCTCCATGCTGGCTGTGGGCTCCAGCCCAGAGTACTGACAGGGACGGAGATGCGGATCGTGTCCCTGGTTCCTTTCAAGTCCAGCTGACCATGGAAGGCCCCAGCCTCACCCTGCCTGCTGCAGCCCCTGGGTGCCGCGTCCTCCTGCTGGCTTCCTTTAACTCTGTCTACACTACTGCGAATCAAATCCGTCTCCGATAGGCTCCTTCCTCCCTCCATGTGCTACTTGATTCCTGGTGGGATCCCCAGGAACAATGGCATCCTAGGAGGCTTTGTTGTTGTTCTTCCCACAAAGGTTTCCTCCTTTGACAGGTGGGCTTCGGAGGCTGAGGAGGAACAGTGTTCTCTGTCGGGTAGTCAGACTGGCCAGATGATTTAGCAACTTTCCTCTGGCTTGAAACCCAAACCAGCAGACCCCGGGCCTCTGCTCTGCTCTGGACAGGAAGAGTCCAGGCGGGATCCCTGACTCAGGGGCTGTGACCCAAGTAAGGAGGAGCCCAGTGGGCAGGTCAGCCGCATTCTTATCTTTGCCCTCCCCATGGGTGGAGAAGAGCTGGACTCCAGAGTTTGCGTTCAGAAAATGTCTGTAGAGTAAATGATGCAGTTTGAGGAGCTGCGGACCACAAAGGCTGCTTCTCTCAGAGCCACTGTAGATCCTACCATGAAACCCTCAGAGGCTCTCGCTGTCCTTGCAATTGTGATACTGGTACCTTGGTTAGGGCGACAGTGGTGCCATAGGCATATAATCCCAGCACTCTGGGGGCGGAGGTGGGAGGGTGGCAAGTTCCAGCCCAGCCTGGGCAACTTAGTGGGGCCCCATCACGAAATAAAAACAAAACACCATGGATGTAGCTCCGAGTGAAGACTGTGGGTTCAATCCACAGTACCTCAAAACAGCAGCAACCACAGAAACAAAGCCCCTCCGTTTTAATCAACAAGGTATGGCCTGACTGATCAGCTTGACACCATGTAATTTCCCCTCCTGAAACCGGTTGTCTGGTATAAATTTTGTTATTGTATGGAAGTAATAAAGTAAAGTACGAGTTACCGCCTTTAAACACTCCACAGAAACTGAGCCATTTACCGGAGAAGGTCGTCAGCAGTGTGAATTCCCCTGAGTGTGCTCCACATTTGTTGTGAAACCCTGCCTGTTATCTGAACATTAAAAGGAAGGCAGCCATGCAGAGGCTCATGAAAGTTCTCCCATTGTTTGTGATCATGACTAATAGGATTTATATTTTCCACTTTCAGAGCTTCTTAAATCTCTATATGATTATCACTAATAATAATTCACCATGTTCAAAATCTACAAGCCTGTCATTTCCTATCTGTCAGGCCCCAGGTCTTTAATTTGGGGTCGTTGGGGGAGCCGCTTGGCTGAGATGATGTGCTTTAAATTTAATGTCTTTCTCACTGGATGAAATGATGAGCATTTGTGAATCCCCTGCTCGTTAATTAGCGGCATTTCCCTCCTGTTGAGAAAAGAAAGTTGCGCACATACATTCCTTTTCAGAAAACTTGTCAATATTCTAAGAACTGGACTAGGTGTAAACAGAATTCAGAAAAGTGGAGGCAAGAAGGGGAAGAAGGGTAGGAAGAAGGGCTGATAAGCACCACTGTCACCGCTGTCACCAAGTGTTTGCTGGTGTGTGACACCAGTGAGTGTGTAGTCACTAGGCTCCAGACAGTGTGATCAGAATCCCAAGACTTGAGTCCCTTCCTAAAAGCTGTGCGGATCACAGTAACACATGCAATGCAACTGTGAACGGAAGGGTTCAGCCCGTGATGGTTGGCTAGAGCTGGTCTCAGGCTGCTCTGCGTGAACCGCAGGCTGGCGAGTTGTGAAGAATGAAGCTCGGGTGGTGGCTCGCAGGGCCGGCCTAGGCGCTCTCCCCTTCCTACAAAGCCACTGGCGCTGATCCGAGGTCCCACCCATGTCTTCATCTAATCCCAGCTGCCCACAGACGCGCCCTCCCAGTACCAGCACAGCAGCTCCCCACCCATTCCGAGCAGGCCACAGCAGTCACAGCTGAGCACCATGTGCCAAAGTGGCTTGGACCGAGGTGTCATTGTGGTTAAGCCCAGGCAAAAACGAATCTTTCACTGCAGCGCTTGAGATGAAATATGCTGATTTCTCTGTGATTGCTTTACTGTTTCTTCGAAACACTGGTTTTGGCTAATTTCCTACTGGCCGTACCTAACTCGGGAAACAGAGATACTTCATTTTATTTTGTCTGCTATGCAACTTCCTGGGCTTGGGAGCACTGGGCTCTAGGGAGGAGCTGCGAAAGCAGGACAGGCTCAGTCCTGGGATGGGCTCTCGGCCCCTGAGGCCTGGGCTTCCTGTCCAGACGCTACTCCTGCAGGGCCTCTGTGAGTGGGACCTGGCCTCTGCTCCCTGCTCGGATTGCTCACCTCTGCCCCAACTTTCTCGTGCCCCAAGGGCCCTCCCGGTGCTCCCAGCTCATTGTTGCAGAGCACTGCCCTCCCTCCCCATCTCTGCCTCTGCCTCCCACACAGGTAACATCTCCTCCCTCAGAAGCCACCCTCTTCCCCAAATCCCAGCCGAGCAGTGACAGGAAGGCAGGAGATGACTGTGAGGCATATTTCATCAATGGCGTTGAAAGTGAGCAACACAGCCTTGCGGCAGGGTGCTCCCCACGGCCACCTGTGTCCATGGCCAGCAGTCAGTGATCGAGTTGGGGCAGCTCTTGCCTTTCTGCAGTCCTGGTGTGAGGAGACCCCAGCAACGTGGCAGATGCCCACAACTGTGAGTAGACACACGCCGGGCTCCTGTCAGGGACAGTGCTGCCTATGGCTTTTATCATGTGTTGCCTAATTCTTTGTGTGTTTTTTTCTCCAATACTGGGGATGGAACCCAAGGCCTTCACACTGAGCTCCTTCACTGTGCTCTGTGACTCCAGGCAGGAGGACACCTTCGGGATGGCATTTGGGACTCAATGTCCTGCTTGGGGAGCTTCCCTCCAAAGGGATGGGGGTTCTCACCATGAGACGCATACAGCTCTGAAGTCCACGGAGGCCGGGGCATAGGCATCCAGGCTGGAGAGTGGCACTGAGGACAGCCTGCCGGAGCACCGTGCTCAGACCCTGGGCGACACCTACACTCTGCCAAGCAAGATGGCCCGCTGCACAACCCAGGGTCTCTGCCCAACTCCAGCCCTGGACCCCAACAACCGAGCCCCCACAGAACCCGGCGGGGCTCACAGGAAGTTTCAGCATGAAGTTGGGGTCTGGAGTCCCAAGATCAACATCCTCCCAGCGTCCCCAGGACAGTTCTGGGCCAGGCCTGAGCCCCTGTGCCTGCTGCTCAGGCAGCACTAAATTCTTTCCTCCTTGGGTGAACAGGCTCCTTGTTACTCCAGCTGCTTTCCGGTGGCTTCACTTTGTGAGGAAATGCTGGCTGGGAGAGGACACAGCCGGCCTGTTGATACTGTACTCAAGGAGGGTCTCCCTCTGGTACCCCTCTACGAAGACATCAGCAAAGCCCTACCTGGGCCTACTTTTGTTCGATCAATGGGTGTCTCTTTCCAAAAAAAATGGGGTTAAAAGTTGTGGGAATTAAGAAGAAAGTTAATCCCTTAGATTGAAAAAGAAAGGAAACCCTGACACTGTTGAGACTTGAGACATGACTTTCGCTTTTACAAATCCTACTCAAGGGAGGACTTGTCCCTTCTCTGTAGAACCTCATGCTGCTTTGTTGTCAACCCAGAGGGGCTTAACCTCCTTTAGAGACACGGTGAAGGCCCATGGAAAAATCTCCTGGCTCATCTACCTCCAAGGGGCTGAGAGCACACAGGGCCACAGAGAAAGTCCAGCAGGAAGACACCAAAGCCTTCACCGAGTCTCAGATGTGAATGGAGGAGATTACTCCTATTTCTCAATTCAACTTCATAATGTGCTTCATTTTTTCTGGATTCTGTAGTGTTTTAGGCTCTGCCACGAGGAATATGTTCTCATCCTGACCATTTCGGGTTGGCTCGTTTGTAGCATTTGTCCTTGGGGAAGAATAAATTGTTGGAGAAGGTATTGGAATGACCTTGTGCTTCTGATCTCATCAAAAGCCATCCACATAATCTTCTTCAAGATGAAGCTTTGGACACTGATGTTTTTCCAGCAATGTGGGATGGGGGGGAGAGGGCAGGTCTTGCAGGTGGAAAGCTTGAATTGTATTTTCTCTACTTATCAACTCTGTGGCTTTCAATAAGTACCTTCTGAGCCTTGGTTTCCCCACCTGTAAAATGTGGTCATTACACCTGGTTTGTTGAATTGTTGTACAGGACAAATAACACAAAAATCTCTGATTGGCTGCTTGAGGTGCCTTGATCTTAGACTCCTGGAGTCTAGAACTGTGAGAAATACATTTCTGCATCTTTTAAACTCCCAGTTGATATTGATGATAGCAGTGCAAATTAATGGAGATATCCACCTTCAAAGTGTGGTCAGAACTCAGCTTCTTCTTCCTCTATTGCTCCATCCTGCTGTGAACCTGGAACCCCTCATCTGAAAGGTTCTGTGAGTCTCCTACCTGGATTCCCTGTTTTTCCCTCCTATTAGCTACCCCTGGTCCTACCCATATTCCCAGCTGTGAGAAGCCAGACACATCCTATGAGAATACAAGGATCAGCTGCTTTCTGCTCATCCTCCTCCCACGACCTCCCACCCTAATGGGCACCAAGGCTGCAGTCTTTAGGGAAACCTCCCTACCACTCCTTATCAACCAAACCTGATCTTACCTAACGGGATCAGACCAAGATACTGATCTCCTCAGGGAGGTGGTTCAACCACTGGCCACTGACCAATATGTGGTCTTACCATACATTGTACTGCCTGGAAGTAGGGAGCCTAATTGAGTGCTAGGATGGCCTTTTAAGGTTTGCCAAGCATGCAGATCAGGGCAGTGCCATGCAGGGATAGGACCTTGTCCTGCAGAATGTGGGATAGCATGGAACAGGGAGAGTGACATCTCTGCAGGTCCTGAGACCAAAGGGTGGAGCAGCTGGCTGTCTTCTCACAGCTCTCTGGGAACCTCCCCTTGAAGATGTGTTCTTCTCAGCTCCGAGTCCTAGGCTCTGCTGAGCTTTAGGTCATGCTCCTGGGGGTGGGTGCTGGGATTTTGCCATCAGGACAGAAACAGCAGCTGTTGCGGGATCACTTTGGGCTTTCTGCGTCAGACCAGCAGGTCAAGGAGGGTCACTGTGGGGTGGTGGAGATCACAGAGGGGCTGGGAAGTCATGCTCTGGGGCTGCAGCGGGTCAAAGCATGCTTCTATGCTGTTCCACAATGGCGAATTAGCAGTGTCAGTATCCATGACAAGGCAGGGCAGCCAAGGCTGAGACCCATGGATGTAAAGTCCTAGGTCCCCCACCTGCAGGGACCAATCGACCTGGCAGGAGAGCTAGCAGGTGTGAGAGTGTGGAAGGGGTGCCTCAGGAGGGAGACAAAGGTAGCTGGTGTGGCCTGGTTCTTCTGACAGAGCAGGGAAGCTCATCCACCCTCCCGTCCCAAGTATCCCGTGGACTGCTGCCATGCATCCTTGAGGACTTGGTTGCTAAGTTGGCTTGAGGAGGGAGGGGAGAGTGGAGTGAGGTAGAAGACATGGCCACAGCCATCACAGTCCCTGGCCCATGGGCTCCTATGATGTTCTCTGCATTTTAGTTTCTGCAACATTTGTAGCCAGGCATGCTGGTATGTGCATGCAATCCCAGAACTCTGGGAGGCTGAGGCAGGAGGATCCCAAGTTCAAGCCCATCCTGGGCAATTTAGCAACTTAGCAAGATCTTGTAATACAAAAATAAAAACTGAAAAAAATATAACGGTTCTGTGCTGGGTAAGCTAGTTTTGTTGGGAAAACCTTCATCCTCTCCTTGCCTGGCTGTCCTCCTTCCTCCCTGGTCCCTGTCCTTCTTAGGGCAGCCTGTACCATACTGCACCAGCCCCATTGTCACGGGTGAGCTGTACACGGGTTCCTTTATTATGCATGTATGCGCACGCTACTGCACACAGCACCCAGAAAAGTGCCTGGCACCTTGCATGTTCTCATATGCATGTGTGAACAAAAGAAAGAAGGTGGCATGCAAGCCATGAGCACATTCATGTGCAGATCAGCATGTATGTCTTCTAGCACTGTGCAGATAATAAAACATCCTCGAGGGGCAATGCATGGAGCCACAGAGCTTAAAGATCTATGTGAGCCCCAAGTGGAAGTTGCTTTCTGGGCTTTCTTAACAGAGTTCCTCATGCTGGGTCACTATGGCAAGGGAAATGCGTCTCTCCTGGTTCTGGGGCTGGAGGTCTGAGATGGAGGTGTTGACAGGGCTGTTTCCTTCTGGAGGGTCTCGGAGGGAATCTGTGCCTGCAGTCCATGGTGTGCTTGGTTGGTATCCAGGTCCCACCAGGCTCTGCCTGCCTCTCCTTGGGCTCCCCTTGTCTCTGTGTGACCCTGTCTCCTCCTTGCAAGGCCACCATCCCTGGATTGAGACCAGCCCTCACCCAGTACAACCTCATCTTAACTTGCTGCATCTTCAAAGACTGTCTCTGATTAGGGCACATCTTGGGAGCTGGATTAGGATTTCCACATGTCTTTTAGGGGGACATGATGCAACCCACAATAAGTTTCCATTTCTTGAGGGCAAATGCTCCGAAGGGAAATCGCTGGGTCTATAGCAGTTGCTCGTTTAGTGTCTCAAGAAAATACCATTAGAAAATGGAAATTAAAACAGCACTGAGTTTCCATCTTACCCCAGAAAGAATGGCCATCATCAAGAAATCAAATAATATCAATTGCTGGTGAGGCCACAGGAAAAAAGGAACTCTTCTGCACTGTCGATGGAATATAAACTGGAGGAGACTGCAGTATTGATTATGCCCAAATCAGGCTGTAAGCAGTGCAGGCTGTGAAGAGTTAACCCCACAATTTGTTTGTTTATAGAACTGAGTCCGGCCAAAGCCTGCGTGCTGAGGTCAGAGTAACTCATACCCAAATTCCTTTCCCACAATGAAAACCTTCTTAACTAGAAGGACAATGTTCTAATTTCAAATATATATTTTGTCTATTCTGTTCCTAATTTGAGAATGCCTTGTCTTATTTTTTTTATGAGCTTTGCTTACATTAATTTCCATAGAAACTGCATGACTGCGCATCCTCATTTCAGGGGTCTCCAGTATAAACTATTACAACCACTATGGAAATCAGTGTGGCGATTCCTCAAAAAATTAAAACTAGAAATTCCATTTGAAGGGGAGTTCTATTCCCCTTTTAGATATCTTCTGGAAAGAGTTAAAGTTATCATATTACAGTGATGCATGCATTCCCATGTTTATAGCAGCACAACTCATACTAACAAAATGTTAGAAGCACCATGTATGCCCATCAACAGATGAATGGATAAAGAAAATATGACGTTTACACACAATGGAGTACTACTGTGCCATAAAGAGGGGCAAACTCGAGTCCTTTGTAGGAAAATGGATGTACCTTGAAACCATAATGTTATGTGAATAAATCAGACACACAGGCTTAAATATCACATGGCTTCTCTGATATGAGAAGCCCAAAATATGAATAAAGAGCAAAATAAAAGGTAGTAAGAAGGAAGGAGGTGGATCTTTCTCAAATGGGAAGGGGATCAGGAGATGCAGGAGGGATGGAGGGAAGGGATGACAAAGGAACGAAGATGTGTTATGTACATGTACCAACACTACACAAAGACTGCACTGTACTGCAAATATGGACTAATAGCAAAAATGAATGAAAAAATAAAAGGAATCCACCACCTGCCTTCCAGACTTGGAGTGGCTGCATCATTCACATTCCTTTTTTTCAGTTTAGGTAAAATTTATTGAGTGCCTATAATATGCATGGGCTTTTATTAGACACACTGAAATTCAGGCACAAAACAGAGATCCCTGGCCTTAGGTACCTTATAATCTAGTTAGTATAACACAGATTAAAAACAGCAGACAGGCAAGTTACCTGATAATGCTCAGTTACCAGAGTCAACATTAAAGAGCTATGATTTAGGTGATCCAAAATGGCATCTAGTCCTAAAATCATTTATAAAATGTATTTGGCCTTAGAATCCACAGCACTTCAAACAAGGTAAGTTCCACTGCAGATAAACAGCCACGAAGATGAAAACACACCGAAATACTTGAGAGCACTATGAATGATTTTTGCTATTTTGGAGCTTTTGTTTTCTTCTTATTATGGTCTGAAGCCTCTGTAATACCAATTTATCAGACAGAAGCATGTCATCTTGTTGTTCTAGTTAACTTAGTAAATTTTCAGTCCATTTGAGTGCAGCTTTATGGCTAATATGCTTCTCAGGGTTCAGTTCGGCTTTTGTAGTCTTACTAGAAGGCTTCTGCTCAGCAGCTGTGGAATGGTCCTCAGCACCTTCACTGTCCGTCAGCACCTGACAGCTTGAGTTGTTACTCCAAGAGTCAAAACACTGATCAATATTCTCAGTGTCAACTTGTTCACAGTCTTCTGTATTCTGTAAAACTGTTGCTAAATTAGCAGCAAAAATGGCTCCTACATCAGTGTTCATAACTGAATTTTCTCCATTGTCAGGGAAAAGTTTTCTCCATCCTTTGGTTATGGTACTTGCTTTTATCATGTTCCAAGCCCTGGATACCTCATAAATTGCATTCAACATTGTCAAGATCGTCCAAAACATTTTTGGGTCAATTCCTTCATCCATGTACTTCTGGAGAAGTCCTGCTTGGTGGTGTCTTTTTACTGTGGCTAAAACTCCCTGGCTCTTTGGTTGAATTAGACTTGTGACATTTGCTAGCACATACTTCATAATTATCCTGCCATCATCTGAACTCAACAATTCTTTAACTGGATGTGCTGGGGGGAAATCTAAAAGAAGCACTGATTTTTCTAGAAGACCCTTGGATCTCAAATGCTTCTGTACCTGTGGCACAGAATATTTTTCAAACCACTGTCTGAAAACAGACTGTTCTATCCATGCACCTTTTTGACTGAAGTAAGTGACAAGAAGGTTTGAAAGGTCAGTTCCTTTGAGTGCATGGGGTTTTTGCTTTTCCCACAACACAAAGATTAAGTTTGTGTAAGCCTGTGATATTTGCACAACACATTATAATGATTCTCTCTCTTCTTGACCTATACTCTGAAGTATTTCATTCAGTGTCAAAAACTAATGTCCTCAATGGTAGACATTTCCACAACAACCCAGTTTGATCAGCACCATAAATTTGCTCTGGTTGTAGATTCTCTCAAGAAATTCCTGAAAGTTACCACAAGATTTACTGGCAGCAGTTTCATCTCCTTTTAATTTTGTTCCTTTACCAGCAGCCTTTGGGATACCATGGCACTGTTTGAATCAAGTTAGCCAGCCAGGTGATGCGTTAAAATCACCCTCCATCCCCAAAGCATCAAAAAAGAACTTGGCTTGTTTTGCACAAATAATTCCAGACACTGGGACCCCATCTGTCTTCTGCTGGTTAAATCACTCTATCATCACTCTATCAAGTTCCTCATGGGTTGACAACTTCACAGATTTACATTTGGACACCCCACTCATGGGATCCGAACTGTTTGCATAGTTTATAATCCTTTCTTTGTTCTTTTTAATATCACAAACTGTGGACTCACCAATCCCATACACCACAGAAAGTTTTTTGAAAGAGATGCCTTCCTCAAGTTTCTTAACATCATGTTTCTTGACATTACGTCAAGTCTGTCTTTAATTGTCAATACCACACGTTTACATTTCCCCAATATTTTAAGTGTCTAATATTTCAGGTGATGACTACAACAAGATAATCACCAACTTAGATTTGAATAGAGAGACTAGAAAATGGAATCTTAAGACCACTGTCTGTGGCCAGGACCTAGTGTGACGGCCAATTTTTGACAAAGTCTAAGAGAGTCTCTTCACTTGGACTTTAAAACTTACAGTTCCTACAATAAGGAATAGCTCCAGTTAACTCCATCTTTCTTTCTTCCTCACAGAGTGTTTGCATAACTTGCGATCTTACGAAAGGCTGGAAATTGAACCAATACTACTCTACTAAGATCTCTAAAAGGGTCCTTACTGCATACTCAAATCTGCCATCAGTGCAGGTAAGGTTCTTTGTAAAGTCACTAAGACTCAGGTTGAGTATTTTGAGACATGTGCACAAAAACAGAGTTTAAACTCCCCGGTACCAAAAAAAAAACCAAAAAACCCCCAAAAACCCAGAGTTTAAGTCAAGAAAAGACTTGCCAACTTGACATACAGGGAAATGTGAGAAAACTTATTCCTTATGTTGTTTTTGTCAGGCAGTGAACTGTAACGAATGCTGTCTCTCTTCAGCAAAGGACCTGTACAGGTTGCACAGGGAAGTGCCTAGGAGAAGCATAGCCAGCAAGTTAAGGCGAACTGCGCAGAAGTGAGATGTGCAAAGGAGGTGAAAATGGACAGGCAGGAATCTCTGTACTTGAACTCAACACAAACTTACACCTAATGGATCTGACCACTGGAAAGGAGACAGGCGGGCAAGTGGTGGTGTCACATGATTAAAGAAAGCACTGAAACCTTCATCGATGGAAATCAGACCGAAGGTAGAGCCTATGGGTGAAGGCGCGGTGAAGATGTTGCAATAATCCTGGCGAAAGCCGATCCTCCAGGGTCCAACAGAAGTAGTTCCTGTGGGGCTGCATAGGTACTTGGAGCCTCTGAAACCTCCTCAAATTAAGAGGTCAGGGAGAAGCCGGGAGAGCGAGGCCCTCGTCGCCAGGCGAGGTGCGGTGCTCAGGCTGCTTTTCCTCCCACCGGTGACCTGGGTGTCACCACCACAGCCGGACAGCCAGCGAGCAGCCGCTGTGCGCAGGGGACGCGGGTCCACCGGCCGCGGACATCGCTCCCCGCCTGGCAGCACAGCGGCCAGATCGAAAGGCGAGCAAAGGGAATCTCCCAAGGGAAGCTGACACTGTGTTGTCACTTTTTAAAATACTCTTTTTATTTTAGCTACTGCAACAGGTGCGTGGAGACCTGCATCTTTCCTGTGCTCATCTGTGCCATCTCTGTTGACTTCGGCAGAGTGTAGGTCCCTTTCCCGGTTCCTGACCAGCTTTTTCCTAACCTTCTTGCTGACCTTTGAGCGTCCTTTCATATTTTGGGTGCTGCTCCTTCATGAGATGTGTAGTTCACAGCTTCTCTTCCCATCCGACCCTGATCTTTTCATCTTTTCAATGGGGTGTTTCACAGAGTAAAAATTTTAATTCTGACCATACCCAATGTAGCAATTTTTCCTTTTGTGGAATGTGTGCCACTTTTAGGACTCCTTTTCCCTGTCCTAGGTCTCAAAGATTTCCTTCCATATTTTTCTAAAAAGTTTATAGTCTTACATTTTAGATTCTAATATATGGCCCAGTTGAGCTTATTTCTGTGTGATTCATGGTGTTCTTTTTCTTTTGCCTGCGGCTGTCTAAATGCACTGCTTGTGGAAAAGGTGATCTTTCTTCCATCCAACTGTTCTCCCCCTTGTCCAAGTCAGTTTGGCACAGTGCATGGGTCCTGTCTCAGTGACTTTTGCATCTCAAGCTTCTCTGTCCCCGCCAACGGGTGTGGTTTGGTAGATACCACCATCTCCTGTAGATACCATCCCTCTGGTACCATGGAGAACTCCTGCAGACAGGAGCTTCCTGGAGGGTTCCTTGTGCCCTGGGCTCTAGGCAGGGGTCCCAGTAAGTGGCACATTGGTCGTGCACTGGCTGCTTGGACTGCAGAGTTTCCTGCTGGCCTGGAACCTCGAGCAGGTCCCTGAGCCTCAGTGTCCTCTTCCGTGAGCTCAGGGTGATAACAAAGATACCCAGTGAGAATTAGACAAGCTAATAAGGTGTCAGCTACTCAGGTTTGTATTCACCATGTGAGGATTATATGTGCTCCTCCTCATTACCATGGCTATCCACTCGGCCAGTGACACTGGCCATGGGACTCCTCTCACCGTGGTCATCCTGCCACCATGGCAGTGACAGAAGCTATTCCTGCCGCTGGGAGGACCTTCCTGAGTCAAGGCCCTCGTGGGAGGTCAGATCTGCTGTGAGAATGAGCCCCCCGACCCTGGAAGCACAGAAAGGAGTTCCAGGATTTTCAGAGTCATGGCTGCCACCACCTCTGAGCCTGGATGGACACTGGACTCGTTTTCCTAGCACCTGTGCCTCTCTCTGCAGAGTCTCCCCCCTCACACAGGGAAATCTCTCCCGCCTGTTCCCAGCATTTTCCCTGCAGCCCTGACTTGGGTGGGCAGGCAGGCGTCTCTCCCAGGGAGGTCAGGCTACAGTGTGGGCCCTCTCCTCCCTCCTCTGCACACCCCATATCCTTTGCTCCTATCTCAGAGGAAGATGCTCTGGTCCCCCAGAATCATCTAGACCATGAGAATTCATGGCTGGGCGACTTTCACGGGGCTGCGGTGACCAAGTACCACCATCGAGGAGGCAGAAAGCAACAGAAATGTGTTCTCTCGGTCCTGCAGGCCTGGAGTCTGCAGTCAGGTGTCCACAGGCCAGTTCTTCTGAGGCTATGCAGGAGAATCCACCCCAGTGCCTGGCTGGTTGTTGGTGATGTTCAGTGTCCTGTGGCTTCTAGAAGCATCATTCCAGTTGTTGCTCTCATGTTCACTGTCCAGGAGTTCTCCCTTCAGGCGTCACAACTTCCTGCTCCTTGTAAGGATGCTTGGCATCAGAGGAAGGGCCACTCTACTAGGGTCTGATTCCATCTGCAGATAACTAATTTTATGGATAGTAGGCACATTCATGGATATTAGGGTTGGGGTTTCAACATATAAGGTGTGTTCAAAATATACAGTGAAAGTTTAATTCATTACAGTAAGGACAAATTATCCTTCATCCTCCTTAAAAACCTCCCCCTCCCTTGTCTCATCGTCCTTGACACTTTCTGCAGCAGCTCTGGAGTCCTCTTTCCTCAGTGTCTTTAGTTGTGCTGTCTTGGCTTCCTTGATGTCCTGAATCAATTCAAAGCATCTCCCTTTCATGGTTGTTTTGACTTTGGGGGAAAACCCGGAAGTCACACGGTGCCAGATCCAGTGACTAAGGTGGATGAGGACACAGCATCATGTTTTTATGAGCCTGTCTTTCTCTTGGATGGCGCTTGGCAGAAGCAGTCATTGTATTTGTGATCACATCTGGTAAAGACCCTCAGCAAAGAGGACTCCAGAGCTGCTGCAAAAAGTGGCAAGAATTACAGGACAAGTGTGTTTAAAGTGAGGATGAGGATTTGAGGGGGATTCATGACAATATGTCTCTTCCTGTCATATTTTCTTTTCTGTCATATTTTTTATTTAAACATTCATCATATATTTAAACACTTCCTGTCTTTTTTGGGGACACAGTTCAACTCACAAAAAGGATTAACAGCGACTTTCTTAAACTAGGACCTCCACTGAGTTAGCAGTGCCATTCTAGTGTCAGTGTGAGAGTTTTGGAGGTAGAAAGGGTCTTGGTAATAGGAGCACCTACTAGGACACTGGTAAAATCATCCCAGAAAGAGATTAAAGTTCTGAGCCAAGGAGCAGGCTCGGGGTAGAGCATTTTGCAGTTCTGTGTGCAGAAATCCACTGCTTTCTTTCCAACAGCCCCCTGCCTTTGGCACAGGTATGAGCTCTGCATAACTGTATTTTCCTCTCTCCAGTTCTGTTGGGGGCACAGTGGGGCAGCAGCTGTGCACCAGGGCTGGGGAGAGCCAAGTTTGTTTATGCAGATGGTGCTTCATTTTAATCTTTCCAGTGACTGCCTTGGGGGCTTTGATTCTCAGCTGAAGGCCGGGGAAGAAAAGGCCTTGATTGTTCAGATGCGGGCATTTGGGCTGTTATGAGAAGCAAACCCAGCCGAGTAAGGAGTAGGCCCTTCCTGCATAGGTGCTCTTGCCCAGCGTCATGTGGAGGGAAGTGTGTTTCCCACCTGGGCAGCCTGTCGCCTCCTCTGGAGCAAACAGGGCCTTTCCTCTTTCAGTTCCACAGCTCTGTGCGGCTCTGGGGACGTTGCTGTCAGCTGCAGTATGTCGTTCCAGCACACGTGTCCTCCTTTGGAATGAAGCTCTGGGAATGTGCCCGGGTTCACAGTGGCCTTCAGGGAGGGTGAAGGGGGAAGGTCATGGACAACACAGGCAGGGCATGGGAATAATAAAAAGATAGAGTAGTGAAAAATACAATTTTTTTTGCTTTGCCTTTGAGAGTTTGGTCAAAATCACCAGCACATCTGCTTTAGCTCACCCCGTTGCTTTTTGACTTCTGCTTTCTCTCTCCTGGTCCCTTCCTAGCCTCCTGCATCCTTCCCTGCCTCCCTGTCCTTCCTGTGGCCATGAAATCTATCTAGGATCTGTGACTGGGAAACAAAACCAATGGCATTCACTAACCTTGCCATGCCCAGGGTGATTTCCTCCCTGCTTTGCTTTTTAGCTCAGCCTCTTACGGGCCTGGGACTGGAGTGTTTTCCACACCCACCTGCCCAGTCTTGCGCCCTGCTCCGTCTGCATTCCTGCTGGCCCACAGGGCTGCCTGGGACTGTCCACCCCTTCTCAGGCAGGGACTTGCGGGCTGCCGGCTCCATCGCATGGTGGGTCCTGGGCCTGACTGACAAGGGCCCCACTGGCTTCCTGTCCCTTTGTTCAGGGTGCTGCACCCCATTGACAGGGTCACTGGGTGCCTCCCCTCTTAGTCTAAGGCTGAGGTGGGGTGGGGAGAGGGAGGGGTGCTCCCGGTGTGGAGAGGAAGTCTCCCAGGGTGGGGACATCAGAGCAGATGCAGAGAAGCGGGGAATGTGGGTGTCAGGAGAGAAGGAGCCCAGCCCTGTGCATTCCCTGGCCATGACTCTGAGGGGAGGTGTAGGGAACAGGGAAAGCAGACTTTACTAGAACCTCTGCAGTGAGTCCTAGTCTCCTGTGAGCCACGGCAGCACAAGGCGAATTAACTTATTATACAGGAAAGGTAGAGAAAATGAGACTTGGAGAAGAAGCTGAGCTTTGGGTCTGATCAGTGCTGCTTTGGGCGGCAAAGAGGAAAACCCCCGAACTTGCTGCACCATTTATTCAGTACATGGGGAGAAACAAATGTAACAGATAACGG